TTGTGTCAAGCACATTTGTACATTTGTTGCCATCATTTTCAAAACATTTTCTTTCTACTTGAGCCCTTGGCATCAGCTCCTCATTTTTCCCCCTCCCTCATAAACCCTTGATAATTTGTAAATTCTTTTTTTCTTTTTTCATGTCTTACACTAACTGAATGTCCCCCTTCACCCACTTTTCTGTTGTCTGTCCCCCTGGAAGGGGGTTACATGTAGATAATTGTGACCACTTCCCCATTTCTCCTTCCCCTTACCCTCCTGGTATTGTTACTCTCAGTATTGGTCCTGATGGGATTATCTGTCCTAGATTCCCTGTGTTTCCAGCTCTTATCTGTACCCATGTACATGCTCTGGTCTAGCTGGATTTGTAAGGTAGAATTGGGGTCATGATAGTGGGGGTGGGGCAGAGCAGGAATCATTAAAGAGATAGAGGAAAGTTGTATGCACCCTGACTGGCTCATCTCTTCTTTGTGACCCTTCTGTAAGGGAATGCCCAGTTGTCTACAGATGGGCTTTGGGTGTCCACTCCACACTCCCCCTCATTCACAATGATAGGACTTTTTGTTCTGGGTCTTTGATGCCTGATACCTGATCTTATTGAAACTTCATGATCACACAGGCTGGTGTGCTTCTTCCATGTGAACTTTGTTGCTTCTCAGCTAGATGGCTGCTTGTTTATCTTCAAACCTTTAAGACCCCAGATGCTACATCTTTTGATAACCAGGCGCTATCAGCTTTCTTCACCACATTTGCTTATGCACCCTTTTTGACTTCAGTGATCGTGTCTAGAAGGTGAGCATCATGGAATGCCAGGTTATTAGAACAAAGTGTCCTTGCATTGAGGGAGAACTTGAGTAGATGCCCAATGTCTGTCTGCTACCTTAATACTATAAATATATGTACATAGATCTATTTCCCTATTATATATATATTTACATATATACATGCCTGTATTTAGACCTCTATAAATGCCCTTTGCCTCCTAGTTCTTTCCTCTATTTCCTTTTACTTTCCTCTTGTCCCACTATCATGTTCAGCCTTCATTCAGGTTTCAGTAATTCCTCTCGGCTACATTGCCCTTGATAAAGCCCTACCACGCATCCTACACCCTCCTCACCAACCATTTTAGATCACTTGTTCCTCTTTTGTTCCTGGGAGTTGTAACACCCACTTCTTTTCTCCCACCTTCCCCTCTCCGTTGTCTGCTAGAAGCCTTGGAAGCATCAGTCCCATTGTTTTCTCTGGATTGTTCATCTGCCCATCTTATAGGCAGGACCTTACTGATACTGGTCAAACTGTGCTTTGGAGATTCATGTGCAAGTCATACTTTGCAAAAACTTCTCCAGCACACTGAGTTCCCATGTAACAATTTGTTGTTCAGTGACAATGGTTATAGGTTTTACAGTTCGTCAGCTTTCTCATGATTTCATTCAGGTGGTTCTGTTTCCATTGATCTAGTATACCTGTCCCCTTGTCTTCTCGTTTTTTGAGTAAATGTTGACCATGTAGTCTCATTCATATAGATGATTTTGAAAAGGAGCACAGTATTTGTGTTAGTCCTGAGTTTAGAGGACATCTCAAGAACAGATTTGCTGTTTTGGACACTAACGACAGAAGACCTGATGAGCTGTGGGATGACGTCAGGCACATTGTTCTTGCTTAGCTCCCTGCTACTGGGAGGAACTTCCCTATCTTACCCCCATTCTCAAGTCCCGCCCTTTCAGTCACGTCCTCGGGATGGTTATCACAACCCCAAAACAAGGCAAAAGCACCAATGCCAAATTTTTAATTATTTTAAAATAGTTTTAAAATCACAATTAAAAGCTGCTTGAAACATTTGTTTCAGTCTGACTTATTTGAGGTCAAGGATTTAGTATTTCTTCTTTCCCACCTCTTTCCACCTCCACTGTACTGGGCAGACCTTGGGAAGTGCCAACCATGTACATGGCCCATGTCTCCTTCTGAGTTAGTCCTTATGTCTCAGACAGCATAACTCAGGTCCTATGGTCATGCTACCCTGGTCTCACCTCACTGGACCAGGGATGGAGGATGGGACAAAAGCATCCAGTTATAAGCTGTTCAATGGCC